ACACCTGCTTCACCCAAAATCCAGGAGATCTCTAAGGATTTCCAAAGTTTGGTTCCTTCTAGAATGAGGCAACAAACAAAAATTGTAGTTTCATGTAAAAAGGTACTGAAGGTAAAGCCATATACTGTGGTCTACACTAAGGAACATGACAAAGATGAGGAAAGTGTGGGTTCTTCGTATCATGTTACTATACAAGTCAAGAATGCCGTTCCATCTTCAATGGAGGATAATGCGGAATTGGAGGATGTTTCACCGTGTTATCACATATCCTGCAACGATGGGGACCCTCAAGAAGATGAAGATGTGAAGGATGCTCCACCTAAACTTGAAGAAGGAGTGAAGACGACAATTTATGCCTTAAAAGAAGTTAACCTTGGTACCGATGAAGAACCAAGACCTACCTACCTAAGTACTTTACTAGAAGTTGATGAAGAGAGCATTTATATTGAGTTACTCAAGGAGTATATAGATGTATTTGCTTGGAGCTACAAAGATATGCTTAGCTTGGACCCTAAAGTGGCAGTCCATCACCTTACGGTCAAGAATGACGTTCGTTCTGTTAAGCAAGCTCAAAGGCGTTTTAGGCCGGACTTGGTTCCCTTGATTGAAACTGAAGTTAACAAACTCATCGAAGCTGGCTTTATTCACGAAGTTAAATACCCAACATGGGTTTCAAGTATTGTCCCTGTAAGGAAGAAGAATGGCCAGATTCGAGTGTGCGTTGACATTAGAGATCTCAACAATACATGTCCAAAAGATGAATTTTCGCTTCCTATTCCAGAGCTGATGATCGATGCTACTACTAGTTACGAGGCAATGTCTTTCATGGACAGTTCGTCGGGCTATAACCAAATACGCATGGCACTAAAAGATGAAGAGCTTACTAAATTCCTTACCCTAAAAGGTATTTATTACTACAAGGTAATGCCTTTTGGCTTGAAGAACACTGGTGCTACTTACCAAAGGGCTATGCAGAATATTTTCGATGATCTTCTCCACAAGAATGCCGAATGTTATGTCAACGACTTGGGGGTAAAATCAAGAGAGAAGGGCGATCATTTGAAAGACTTGAGGATGGTATTTGAATTGCTCCGGAGGTACCAACTTAGGATAAATCCATTGAAATGTGCCTTTGGAGTTACTTCTGGAAAGTTCCTTGGTTTCATTGTCCGACATCGAGAGATCGAAATTGATCAAGCCAAAGTGGATGCCATTTTGAAAATGCCTAAGCCTCGGGATATCCATGAATTGAAAAGTCTGCAAGGAAAGCTAGCATACCTTAAAAGATTCATATCAAACCTAGCTGGGAGGTGCCAACCATTTAGTCGCCTCATGAAGAAAGGTGTTCCTTTCAAGTGGGACCAAGCTTGTAGCAATGCCTTCGAAAGTATCAGAACCTACTTGATGAAGCCTTCAACTTTAGCAGCTCCTATACTTGGAAAGCCATTGATACTATACATTGCGGCACAAGAAAGGTCTGTTGGAGCACTATTGGCCCAAAAAAATAGTGAGGGGAAAGAAAACTCTCTTTACTACTTGAGCAGGATGATGACACCAAACGAGCTGAATTATGCGCCAATTGAAAAGTTGTGTTTGGCGCTAGTCTTCTCAATTCAAAAGTTGAACCACTACTTTCAAGCTCATGTTGTCCGTCTTGTTTCTAAAGCAAAACCCATCAAGTTTGTGATGTCAAAACCTGTTCTTAGTGATCGACTAGCGAGATGGTACCTCCAATTTCAACAATTAGAGATTTTGTACATCCCTCAAAAGGCTGTAAAAGGACAAACATTGGCAGACTTCTTAGCAGATCATCCGATACTTGATGACTGAGAGCTAACTGATGAACTACCTGATGAGGACGCAATGGTTGTTAAAGTTCAACCTCCATGGAAGATGTACTTTGATGGTGCCGTACATCGTAGAGGAGTTGGTGCTGGGGGTAGTATTTGTCACTTCTCAAGGTGAAGTTCCGCCCTACTCTTTTACGTTGATGCAACTCTGCTCTAACAACGTCGCTGAGTATCAAGCACTAATTCTTCGGCTTGAATGGCTGTCAAAATGAAACGATTACAATTGCAAGTCTTTGGTGACTCTCAATTAGTGGTCAATCAACTTCTAGGTAGTTACGAGATCAAGAAGCCTGAACTACGCCCATATCATAATTATGCTAAAAAATTAATGGGGTGGCTCGGTGAAGTGACTATTCAACATGTGCCATGGAAAGAAAATAAGAAAGCGGATGCTTTAGCTACCCTAGCTTCATTGTTAACCCTGCATGATTAAGTGCAAGTTACTGTCTGCCAAAAATGGGTAGTACCGCCGCCAAATGAGGCTAAAAGTGAAGAAAATGAATCAAACATCTAGTCGCTGTTTCTGAAGTAGATAAAGAAGAATGGCGACAACCTATTATCGACTACTTATGCTATGGGATACTTCAAGAAAATTCGCGGAGGAGAACTGAAATCCGTCGTCGTGCACCTCGCTTCCTTTATACAAAGATACCCTACACAGAAGATCATTCAAGGGAGTACTCTTGCGATACTTAGGGGGAGATGAAGCACTCCAAGCTTTGCAAAAAGCGCATTCTGGGGTTTGTGGGTCACACCAGTCTGGACCAAAGCTCCACTTTCATATAAAAAGGATGGGATATTATTGGCCAACTATGGTAAAAGATTGCTTGGACTACGCTCGAAGATTCAAGGCTTGTCAATTCCATGCGAATTTTATTCATCAACCACCTGGAGTGTTGCACCCGACTATGGCATCCTGGTCGTTTGACGCTTGGGGATTGGATGTTGTTGGACCACTGCCAAAGTCCTCTGGTGGGCACCTATACATCCTAGCTGCAATCAACTACTTCTCAAAATGGGCTGAAGCTGTTGCTCTTAAGGAAGTAAAGAAGGAAAATGTTGCAAATTTCATCAGAGTAAACATTATTTATCTCTTTGGCATTCCTCGTTACATAATAACGAATAATGGAAAGCCATTCGATAATAGGTTGATGAACAAGATTTGTGATCTCTTTGGCTTCAAGCAACGTAACTCTTCAATGTACAATGCTGCCGCCAATGGTCTAGTTGAGGCATTCAACAAAACTCTATGCAACTTGCTAAAGAAAGTCATCTCCAAATCCAAATGAGATTGGAATGACCGTATGGAAGAAGCTCTATGGGCATATAGGATGACTCACCGCATGCCAACACAAGCGACTCCTTATTCACTCGTTTATGGAGTCGAAGCCGTCTTGCCACTTGAACGTCAAATACCTTCATTATGACTGGCTATTCAAGAAAGGATCACTGATGAAGAAAATGCTCGACTTCTAGCAGAGTTGGAGGATCTTGATGAGAAGAGGTTGGAAGCTCAACAAAGTCTTGAATGTTATCAAGCTCGATTGTCTCGTGCCTTCAATAAAAGAGTTCGCCCGAGATCCTTTCAAGTAGGAGATCAAGTCCTTGTCGTACGAAGACCCATAATTACTTCCTATAAACCTATAGGGAAGTTCACTTCAAAATGGGATGGGCCATATGTCGTACAAGAAGCTTGCTCAAGTAGGGCTTACAAGCTGGTTGATGCAGATGGCACGAGAATCAGCCCTATCAATGGCTAGTTTTTAAAGAAGTATTATCTTTGAAGTTGCAACGCTCCTTAACGCATGAGCCTAAACTGCATGTTGCTACACTCCTGGCCCGCATGTGTTTAAACTGTATACGACCCCGCAAAAAAAGGAGTCCGCTAGGTTGAAAACTTCGAAAGAGGTGGCCTAGGAAAAAATTAGGACATTAAAAAAAATCACCCAGTCTGAACTACGGTATGACTTGATCTTCTTCACCGAGGTACGTAGGCAGCTTAGAGTTTCATTCTAAGTTCAGTCGCATAAGTTCAAAAGATACATATTTCCCCAAATGTTGTTCAAATGAAGTATGAAGGAATGTAAGATCAAGATGAAATGCCATCCTCCTGTTGAACTTTGATCTCATTTGATTTAAAGGGGGAAACCCTCCATGGTAAATTGATATCTTCAATGGGCCTAATTTAGGATGATGTCAAGTATTTGTATTAAAGTCCAGGGATTCTCTATATCTTTAGGTTCGCCAAACCTTCAAGTTTGTTGGTCTCCAAGTCTGCCTTAAAAAAAGGGAAGAGAAGAGAGACGTCAAAATGAAACACAAGTATAAGGAAAAGAATGCTTGGTACAACGTTTCAAATTCAGTGTGACTTGAACCCAAGATATTTATGAGGATATAGCTCTTAAATTTCGATTGATGGCAAGTAAGACATCTTCCGATATCGAGGCTTCCATACCAAGATACAAAGTTTTGGTGAAGTCGCGCAATCTGAAATAGTCAGCGTGTTAGAATTTTATGTGATTTTGGAATCTTATCTGAAACTATCCTTAAGGTATTAAATTTTGCATTTTGAATGATTTAAATTTCGAAGTTTGGTTTTCGAAAAATCAAACGGTTCATAATTTCGACGTTTCTACACCATGATATGAATATTTTGGTGAGATTGCGCAAATCTGGAATTGATAGCATGGTGCAATATAAAATTGATTTCAAAATAGTATCTGGGACGATTTTGAAGTTTTTTGATTGAGAATTTTGGACATGTTCTAGATCTTAAAGTCTAGTTTTCAAAAAATCAAACGGTTCGTAATTTCGACGTTCCTACGCCAAGATATGATTTTTTTTTGGTGAGACTGTGCAAATTTGAAATTAATAGCGTGGTACAATATAAAGTTGATTTCAAAATATTATCTGGGACGATTCTGGAGTTATTTGATTGAGAATTTTAGATATGTTCTAGATCTTGAAGTCTAATTTTCAAAAAATAAAATGGTTCGTAATTTTGACGTTTCTACACCAAGATATGATTTTTTTGGTGAGACTGCGCAGATCTAAAATTTCCTACGTGGTAGAATCTATAGTTGGTTTCAAAATATTATCTGGGTTGATTATGAAGGTGTTTGATTCTAAGTTTTGGATACATTCTAGATATTGAAGTTTAATTTTTGAAAAATCAAACGGTTCATTATTTGGACTCTCCCACGATATGAATCTTTCGTTACAAGCGCGTAAAGCTGAAAATTATATGACTAAGATAAATGTCGGGCCACATTGAGAGTAATCTCTCCGATAGTCGGGCCACCTTGAGAGTAATCTCACTGATAGTCGGGCCACACTGAGAGTAATCTATCCGATAGTCGGGCTGCCTTGAGAGTAATCTCTCCGATAGTCGGGTCATTTTGAGAGTAATCTCTTCAATAGTTGGGTCGTTTTGAGAGTAATCTCTCCGATAGTCGGGCCACATTGAGAGTAATCTCTCTGATAGTCGAGTCATTTTGAGAGTAATCTCTCCAATAGTCGGCCACTGAGAGTAATCTCTTCGATATTTGGACAGGGATGAGCACCCATCCCTAGGACCGCCTTCTTCATGCGTGGATCATCTTGTTGAACAAGAACATATCTTTCTTTTCTTGACCTACAAAAAAAAAAGGGAAAAAAAGAAAAGAACAAACAAAGATAACGCAGGAGAAAATAAGAATTTTTTTTTTACCTTTTTGTTACTGCTTTTCAGAGCAGCTTGCAAGAACCAAAGATTAATGCTCAATCTAAAATCTAGCAATAATTTCAATAATTTGGTTATTACTTTGTTTGGCTCATTAATAATATATGCAACTATGCATAAGTTACGCGAGAATTATCATATTATCTTATGTAAATAAAATATGAAATAAAAATTCAAATATCAGTAGTACATGGATTAAAAATACTACTAAAATGACAAAATTAGCCTTCATAATATTAAGAAACTTTTATTTTGTTTTAAACTTAAGAATAAATTTAGAGTTATACATTGTACTGATTTTTGATAATCAAATTAAACATTCAATAAGAAATGAAAAAATGGATCAAAGTGATGCTTTGTATTGCGATAATACATTATAGTCACTCACCATTTCCTCTCTCAGCATTGCTATTAGTTATTCATAAAAAAAGTAAAGATGGCTCATGAAAGTTTTCTGTTGACAATAGAATAATGTTGAATAAGATTATAGTGAAAGATAAGAATTCTATTCCCATATTAAATGATTTATTGGATGAGCTTCACTAGTAAATCATCTTTTGAAAGGTTTATCTTAGTTTATGTACAGTACGTACTAGCTCTTCCAGATTTCAAGAAAAAAGTATTTGTGGTCAATTTACATGACTTTGCTAATTAGTTGCTATTGACGAATGGAGGATCTATTTACAATCTAGATAAACATTGTGAGAATATGGCCATCGCAACCTTATGTTAACAAGATAAGGGACTCAATATATAATGATAGGCTTAATTAATTATGAAGTTCAATATAAAAAGGATTCGGGTTGCAAATTCCCTTTTCTATAAGGTATAAAACTGCAATTTCTCCATTTGAGGGTACCCCTTCACCACATGTCTCCTTAGGACTTGTAGCTATTTGAGTCTAAAGCTCCAGCAGCCGAGGTTTTCTAGTATAGGTATCAAAATATGGTTCTATATTCACTAGGACTCGAACAAGCGATATCTCATGGTGTCACTTCATTTTTAAGCTACTTGGTCATATATTTTTACGCTCTCTATTTGCGCATTTAGTTTTGCCCGCTTCCTGGGTTAGTCTTAATTTTCACCTATTTTAACTATGAATCACGGTCTTATGACAGATGTGGGCGAAATTCTTGATAGCTTTATTGCTTAGTTAGACTATGAAAAAATAAAAGGAATTAGTATAACAAAGCTAAATATTGGCATAATGTGCTTAATATTAACATAAAGTAGATCATACGTGTAGATGTATTTGCGGAACAAAGTTGTAGAGGTATATTCTTTAGCTTGCTTGGAAGACCAAAACAGTGAGATTGTTCAAGTTGATGTTGGTGGTTCCAGTAATCAAAAGATTGGATAAAATCTTGAGTTGCAAATGACAACACGTACTTCATCTTGGTATTTACTGAAAAACAAGGAAAAGCACGCATTAGAAATAAAATATAGTATAAATCCATGATGATCTACAATAAAAGCAATAGCAAAGACAAAATATTAACATCAAGAAAAGCTTGTGTCAATGCAGGAAACAGAATCGCATCTCATTAGCCAAGAAATTTCAAAAAAGCCTGGTTCAACATAAACCTAAAGCAGTTCTCATTGCAACAATATCAGTGGGTACATGTGTTCTAAAACCAGAAGAATTGCTTCAGCACAATTGGCTTAAAAAATGTACCTTGCTGCTTATAAAAAGTAATTCTTCACCATGGTCATTCTTCCATGTAGGCTAACCTCAGTTTCTCAAATACTTCAGATTATGAACATAGCTTTCAGTCAAATAGAAAGCTTAATCTCAAAAGGAAACTAACTTGAACAGATCGCGGCAGGTGGGTTTCGAAGCAAAATCTCACCAAGTCCATTCTTATCCTTTACAGATTCTACAGATTTAGGATCCCTATCTGCTGCAGAATGATCCGCTTCAAGAACAGAAATTGGATATCAATAGGAAGAACTATCTTCTCTGATAAAATACAGCATGAAGCCTAGACCTCTATACCGAATATACTAAAATTTCTAAGAAAGACAAAAGCACAAACATTTGAGCAAAGCAAAATTTCCAACTTACTGATCGAGGATTCAAAGGATAAAGTAACAAATTTATTAAACAATAAATAACAAGACAGTTTTGCTAGGCGTCACCCGAATTACATTAACCAATGTGTCCTTATTGTACTCTTTTTTGTGTTAGGAATCTTCATTATTTAGAAACATTCCAGTAGTCATTATGTCATCTGAGAATGTTCCTTCAAGAATCAATAGGTAAATACTAACATGCACAATGTTACCATAATTTTAGTTTCTTGAAGATTATTGGATAAACAATAAAGGTTAATAATGTATTCTGACTGATTCATGATCATATGGTTAGAAGGAGTAGAAGAATTTTTCTTGAAATCAGTCAGATTATCATATGTCAACAAGCTTAAACCCCATATGATGAAAACCAAATGTAAAAGTTTTTATGAACCTGTTGAGAAAATTGTGACAAAGAAAAATCAAGAATCACCAGAAATTGAAAAAGTTTCATCAGAACAATCATAGCCACAGCCAAAAACAGAATTAGACACAGAAGAGATACAACAAATCACCTTAAGCTTAATCTTAAGCACACCGTTGTTCTTCTGCTTCACTACCACTTCTTCCTCCTCTCTATTGCCTATGAGACATCAAAATCCATACACTGATGCAAACAAACTACTTGTTGGGATCAAATAAATAATCCCGCACATGAATAATATCCACAACAAATAATAATAACACAAGAGAGTAACAATGACACCAAATATTTTAGCGGGATAAAATACAATATCCGAGTGTAGCAATATTACCACTATAATATTACAACCCAGTAGTGTCAAGAGACTACTACAACTTTGAAAGAAATAACACTCTTTATATAAAATACCTCACTACAATATTACTACCACTCACTAGTTATCTCACAGACAACAATCTGTGGATTACTCTCTCTAACTTCTATTGTTTCTCTCTTATTTTGGTGTGTTTAAAGGAGAAATGAAGCCTGCTATTTATAGACACATTTTCACCAACCAAACCAATTTGATTGGTTAATCAATGTGCAAATTCTAGCAGCCCAATCTTGAAAAATTTGAAGTTTTTTTCTTCCATCCATCACTCCTATTCCTTTTATTCAATGTAGTAGGTGAGTCAATCACCCCTCTTTCTTTTTCTTTTATTCAATGTAGTAGGTGAGTCAATCACCCCTCTTTCTTTTTCTTTTATTCAATGTAGTAGGTATGGACTCCACAAATCTCTCCCTTAATTTTGATTTTTCTTCTTCATTTCAAGTCTTGATCTCAATCTTTGAAAATCTTCATACTTGAGAGCCTTTGTGAAGATATCTGCAACTTGATCATGAGACTTCACATATTTGAGCTTGACTTCCTTTTTGGCAATGCACTCTCTGATGAAATGATACCTTGTATCTATATGCTTGCTTCGATCATGATACACTGGATTCTTCGCGAGTGCCTGCGCTGATTTGTTATCAATACAAATCTCTGTAGCTTCCATTTGTGGCAAATTGAGCTTTTTCAATAATCTTCTTAGCCAAATAGCATGACAGGTACATGATGTTGCTGCTATATATTCGGCTTCACAAGTCGAGAGAGTAACAATGGACTGTTTCTTTGAACTCCAAGAAATAACAGAATCACCCAAGAAAAATACAAAACCAGTTGTACTTTTTCTATCATCAATATCTCCCGCATAATCACTATCACAAAATCCCATAAGACTGAAATCACTAGAAGAAGAATAAAATAGCCCAAAGTCAATCGTACCTTTTAGGTAGCGAAGAATTCTTCTAGTGACCTTCAAGTGAGTAGAGGTAGGAGCCTTCATGAACCGGCTAACTACTCCAACTGCAAAGAGTATATCTGGCCTGGTACGAGTCAAGTACCTCAAACTTCCCACAAGACTTTTGAAGAATGTGGGATCCACTTTTTCTCCTTAATCAAACTTGGACAATTTTGTCCCACTTTCCATCGGTGTGTTCACGGGGTTGCAATCGAGCATGTTGAACTTCTTCAATATCTCCTTTGTATAGCTTTCTTGAGAGATAAAAATTCCATCCTCCATCTGCTTCACTTCTAGGCCCAAGTAGTATGACATGAGCCCTACATCNAGCAAAAGCTTCAGATTTTTGGTTCAAGAAATAAACCCAAGTCTTTCTACTGAAGTCATCAATGAAAAGCAGAAAGTATTTTCTTTTACTAAAAGAAGGTGGATTGATTGGTCCACAAACATCAGTGTGGACAAGCTGGAGCGGCTTGGTTGATCTTGACATGGCCTCCTTTGGAAAACTCCTCCTTGCATGTTTTCCAAGAAGACAAGCTTCACATAATTGATTGGGATGGTTAATTGATANAGTTGCAATCATCTCTGTCTTCTTCCTTGAGTGCCATCAACAACGTTGACTCATTTTCTTCTTTTTTGTCGTCAACAAAGTTAGCCTTTTCTTCAACATTGCTACAACATTCCCAAGAGTAATGGCCAAATTTATGACAATTATAACATTCAAATTTTGATTTGTCATACCTTTGTCCATTATTTTCTTGGTAGTATCCACGTCCTTTTCCTCCTCTTTGTCCACGACCACGACCTCTGAATGTTTGGTGGATTTTAACTTCATTGTTGAAGTTGTTACCATTACTTCTTCCTCTTTCATGACCTCCTCGACCTCGTCCTCGTCCTCGTCCGTTTCCTTGATAGCTTGTTTCACCTCCATAATCCTTGAAGGATGCCTGCGTTTTAAAAAGTTGCTCCAATGGCACTTCTTGTCTCCTTTTGATCTTTTCTTCGTGGGCCTGTAAAGAACTTTCCAATTGCTCCACCATCATAGAGTCTAAATCTTTAGACTCCTCAATAGCACACACCACAAAATCAAATCTAGGTGTTAAAGTGCGAAGGATCTTTTCTACCACACGGACCCGTATCTTATTAGTTGATTTAAACAGCCTTCACTTTTGAAAAATAATCCGAGATGCATTCGGATTCTTTCATTTTTAAAACTTCAAAATCAGCCCTTAAAGTTTGAAGTTTTACCTTTTTCACCTTGTCAACTCCTTGAAGAGAATTTTGTAAAATCTCCCAAGCTTCATTTGAGGTGGTAGCATCTGCCACCTTCTCAAACATGGCATCATCCAAACATTGGTGGATGAGCGTGAGAGCTTGTTGATCCTTCTTCCTTGTCTTTGCCAAGACCTCTTTTTTATTTTAGGGCAGAGCTTCCTCATTATCGGGCTTTGCATACCCTCTGTCTACGATTTCCCATACATCCTGAGAGCCAAGGATGACTTTCATACGTAGACACCATTTCTCATAATTATCTTTTGTCAGACGGGGGTACTGAAAAGATAGCGGACCATTATTTGTCATGGCTATGATACCACGTTGTTGGGATAAAATAAATAATCCCGCCCAGGAATAATATCCACAGCAAATAATAATAACACAAGAGAGTAACAATGACACCAAATATTTTAGCGGGATAAAATACAATATCCGAGTGTAGCAATATTACCACTATAATATTACAACTCAGTAGTGTCAAGAGACTACTACAACTTTGAAAGAAATAACACTCTTTATATAAAACACCTCACTACAATATTACTACCACTCACTAGTTATCTCACAGACAACAATCTGTAGATTACTCTCTCTAACTTCTATTGTTTCTCTCTTATTTTGGTGTGTTTAAAGGAGAAAGCCTGCTATTTATAGGCACATTTTCACCAACCAAACCAATTTGATTGGTTAATCAATGTGCAAATTCTAGCAGCCCAATCTTGAAAAATCTGAAGTTTTTTTCTTCTATCCATCATTCCTATTCCTTTTATTCAATGTAGTAGGTGAGTCAATCACTCCTCTTTCTTTTTCTTTTATTCAATGTAGTAGGTATGGACTCCACACTACTAACGGGTGACATATAGAAGCGGTGTCACATGCTTATCTATAACAGAAGCTAACTTTTCTGTGTTTTTACCATCTTAGTCTATAATCTGCATATCTTAAAGTGAGCTAATTTGTTAGGAAAAAGTTGAAACAACTCTTTTTTTTCCAGATTGATGTTATATGTTGGAACTTAATCACAACAGACCTACATTAATATCAACTTCATACTTATTTCATTAGTTATTGGTATTTTATTTCTGTAACAATTTACACTGCCACACTTGCATTTCCCTTCCCAATTATACAGCTAAATAAAGCTGGTGGAAACATCAGATTTATAATTATAATAATCAATAGGAGAACCATATAGTGTTTTGCTTTTACAGATACATAAACAAATTGCATATTAAAGTTTACTTATTAAGGTGTTTCAAAGACAGCAGGTTGATCAGTAGTTAGAGCGACATATAGGACTTGCAACTCAGCTAGTCGAAGAAGACATTATCCAGAGAAGTATTGCTCAAACTTGCAGCACAACAGTTATTATTCTTGAAAGAGATGCAAGTGAAGAATAAGGTCAAGAGCTAATTTTGATTACCTTTATTTCATGCCTATGGTTAGTGGAACATAGTGGTTACTAGAATATTTGTGTAGGACAAAAAGTGAAAAGCAAGCTGCAGTACAAATTTTATATTTTCCTGCAAAAAAACTGTTGATAAATAGGAAAAGATGTTATAAATTTACATGTGATGGAGCCAATTAGGATTTTTAGAGAACTACCACACGTACACATGTTGCTAAATTTCTATGTTTTCGTAGGTAGGTTATTGTTGTGAAGAGCGTTAAGCGAGGAAATGCGAGAAGCTCCATTTTATTTAAAGCTAAAAAATGGCAGTAAGGAAGACAATGGCAGTAAGAACTAAGGAGAAATGAAGGACTAAAACGAAAAAAATGGCAGTAAGTAAGAAAAAAATTGGGCAGCATTTCACTGCAATTTTAAGGACTGAAATGAAAATAAAAAGAAGAAGAAGAAGAAAATATAGTTTGTATATTCTGATGTCATGTCAACACCTATGCGTTTATCCACAAAATAGAAATAAGCTACCAGTGTTGTGAAAAGCGCGAAGCGAAGCGAGAAGTGTAGCAGGTTAGTTGAAGCATGCGCTTCTGTCAAAAGGCGAGAAATGCGACTGAAGCGAGAAGCGACGTAGTGAACGCTTCAGTATATTAAATGACTGCCAACATTAAAAATAAAAAAAATTATGTCTTTGGTATGTTAACTATCTAGCCTAAAACGCCAGAAGTTAATGGAATATTAGAGTTCAATTCAACCAACCATTTCGGGAAGAAGAAGGTATGTCTCGGATGAAGGTAGCAGCTTGTCCTGGAATCATCCTTTGAGATTCGGAAGAAGAATGACTTTGATCAGAAGGATTGGCCGCAGAAATTTCAAAGAGACAGCGCTTTCTCGCAGCATATTCAGTTCGACGTTGCTCTAGAAGAGTTGCCTTTTTATCAGGTGGCATTTCTCTGTATGCGATATGTCGCCTAAGGTTTCTTTCACTATTTTCGGCACGAAGATATGGATGGCCTATCGTGTGATCAGTTTGGTCTCCTTCCATCTTTCGTTTCTTAGAAGACATCTGACTTGCATGCATTTTATATAGGCTTTTTGTTAAAGTCCAAATTTTATAAAGGTAACATTTAATCTACTCTTATAGGTATACATATCTAGATATTATAACATAAAACATAAGGTAGAAGCAAGTTACATTGTAGCTAAACAGATAACATTATAGATCAAAAGTTGTGAAAATTACCTGGTGTAGCAGTACTGTTTTCACTTTCCCCTAGAGAAAAGTTT